GTAAATTAAAATTGTCTTAGGAAATAATACAAAATATAGCCTACTAGCTGTAACCCGCGGGCTTTGCCCCGTTTAACTTCTTAATTTTCAAGATTATCTCGTTCGCATGGCTCAATCACGTCCTGGTTGAAGTTTGTTCGCTACGCTCACTCACCTTTAGGTTGGAGCTCGTTCGCTACGCTCACTCACCTTTAGGTTGGAGCCCGTTCGCTGCGCTCACTTGCCTTCAGGTTAGCTCGTTCGCTACGCTATTATTTCGTTTCGCTCGCCTCCAGGTTGAAGTTCGTTCGCTACGCTCACTCACCTTTTGGTTGCAAATTAGCTGTTGTCATAAATGTAAAAGAAATAATAGTGCTGCACCCTGTTGGCAATCCTTGTAACTTTAATGCTATTGAACATCATAGAACAGAACCAACTTGTTTAATTGAAACAGCTGTTAAGATTCAATAATTCCATTTCTCATAAGGTTAACATGGGAAACTCCAGAGCCACTGGGGTGGAGCCCGAAAGGATTTTTGAAATAAGAATATGCCTATATGTCATTCGGGAATGTGAGCTATCATCATGCCAAATTTCAGCCCAATCCGACCAGTATTTTTCGCGTTCACTTGTCACAAACATACAGACGATCGTAAATTTAAGGGTCAGCTCAAATAGTTCTTGATTTGTAATTGTTTTATAGTGTTAAGGATTTCATTTTAGAGAAAAACATTTAATATGAGTACTTTGTATTGAATATAACGCTTTTCAATGCCTATAATGGTAGTGCCCATCACGGCATGCGGTTGTAATCATTGACGTCCTTCAAACATCGTATCATCGGTGAGGTATTCTGTCTAGTCCAATATTGCATAACTATTATCTTGTCATCACAACTAATTACAGTAGTATCACTGTTCCAAATTATTCATCAGATACAAGCGTAATCATTCTTTGGTTTTTTTACCACAATATGATCAATATTCGTTTTAGGCCGGCTTTTAGTGATGGTCATTGCGCTTGTTCAATGAAGAATAGCCGACCTTTGTCAACATAGGAGCACAACTAACCTACCTTGGGGCCCACCAGATTCCAAGGCGCAACTAATCTCCCCATTAATTGTCCTAGGTCATTAAAAACGCAACTACCTAACACCGATATTAAGGTAGCTTAAATGTTAACGTTTACTCTACAGAGGAATCATAAATACTTTGGTAAACAATGTAACAACCGTAAACTGCAACTATCAACACTTATGACTCCAACATGGCTTGTTTGTTGATCCGAATGATGTTACTTCCCCTATGACAGATTGACCAGCTTGTCATCCAATGAAACTTACTAGATCTTTTTGACGCTTTGTTCTACAAAACTTTCTTCCATCATGTGTCTCCAATACCTAAAACCTTTGCAGCAGGATTAATGCTGCACTAGATCATGCGGGACTTGTTACCCACATGATGCAACTCCAGAAGGAGTTACGAGCGTCGCAAATGTCGAGACGGAGTGAACCAATTAGAGATGATTGGTGCCTGTGGGAGGCGCTGGGCGTGGACCTCCTGTGCCAAGTACAGACTGGTGGAGTTTTGGGGCCCTTTTGTAACTATGTACAACAATATGTGTTACTCGTAATGTAGTTGCAATTAAATTCTAAATTGTATATGCTGACATTGTACATTTGTGATGGAAAGATTACCTTTCAAAGTCTTCTCAGTTGTAATTTAACCCAACAAACATTACCCACGGTTCAGCTCTTGATGGAGGTTGCTTACGGTTGTTAATTGGCTACTCATATTTGAAATCACATTTTCAACTCACCTAAGTGTGTGGACTCTTTTCTTGTGTTATGCGTTAGTCTTGAAACCTAAACATGGTTACGTATTTTCCTTGCATATTCAGTTTACAATTTATTCAAAACCATCGTCATTACTCATTTGGTCAAACATGAAAAGGTCGCTGTGTACATAAAGAAAATAGAATACATTAACATTTTCTCCTAACCCTTTTTCATATAGTACTTTGGAACCAAATGGCCAGTTAGTTAAACCTATAAAAAACACAGTTTGATGCTCTTTTTCTCTATACAACAGAGGAAATTTATAATCCATCAAAATAAGCAAAAGCATTAATGAATTTAATGCCCCGGCATATTTTGTAACCACTTACCAACTAACACTTGGTTGTCGTAACGACTTCCTGTTTCCGTAACGTGCTCGATTTCGAGTGTAACCATCCTGAGAGCGATTAATGACCCAGTTGTCCAAGGTGGTTGTGACCAGAGTCAAGTACAGACTGCCCCAAGCCCCGCCCGGCAGTCAGTTCTGGGTCACAGAGTCGCCCAACCGCCCAGTGACCTTTCCTGCAGGGCCGCCCAAATGTCACCGCTCAGCAATGCGACAGCTGCTCATTTTATAGAATCGGATTTGAAATTAAAGTAGATCACATTTTATTTCATCAATACGACATCGATATATCCTGGTACGTTTTAAAGATGAGTGAGGAATGTGTTAAAATAAAGATAAAATAATTAATTGTTACTGACAACAATCTGCTGTTTCATATGTCAGGATTTTCATAAGAAACCTAATGATCAAGAAAAGAATGATCCAGTTAATGTTTATACACATTTGAATTAAAATAGTGTTCAAATGTATATGGATATGTGTCTAACCTTTTTTTCGAAGATGTAGTTAAAACTCGTTACACCAAAATAAAACTCGGTTAAAATTAGTAGCTTTGACCTCAACGTTCAACGCACATTCTATGTTCACAAAAAAATTTTTAGACCATACATTTTAATTTTTTGTTTTACGAAAAATTGGCTTATCGAAGTGTAATAGTTTTGGACCCAAAAACTAATTTTCGACTATCTAGCTTAAACAAACAAGAAAATAAATTTGAAATCTTAACACATGTTAAAGCAAGTACTATGTTTTGTTTCTGTATCGAAAGAGAAAGACTTTTTCCTACAGTCACCCGACAAAGTTGGCTTCCCTGTACTGTTTATAGTACAGAAAGCTGCTAATTGCTGCATATTTATACTTTGCCGTACGGTTTATACTTTGCCTTACGGTTTATACTTTGCCGCACATCAGGATTCCAACCAAACAACACAAAACAGCGTGATTTTATTATGCACGTAATCCGTGTACGCTTGGAAATAGGTTGGCAACACTTAAAGATAATAATTCTATGAGCAGCTGATTGACTATTATAACTACGATTTAACCTGTCATTTCGTGTTTATAATTTCGGTATTTCTGAACTTTCTGGACTTTTCTTTTACACGTTTTTAAAACATTCCTACGATCTTAATAAACAAGAAAATACCTTTAAAGCATTTTTTTAGGCGCGGAAACCACTTCAAATTACTAAAACATACGGAACTATATTCTCAAAACGCGGAGCACATTTCTTGCCGAGGAAAAATAGCGGAGTGATACGGACTGCGGGTACTACTTTCTCTAGGGCACCATTTGTGTTGCCAGCTGAACCTAAAAAAGTGTTGTATGGTGTTTGAAAGACTAATTATTTATATGCTTTATAGTGACTGTAGGAAAAATATAATGTGTAACACGAGTGAAAAAGGCCTTTGCTGCACTCGAGATCATTCCGCACTCGCCTGCGGCTCGTGCGTAAACATTGCTCTCGTGTGCAGCAAAGTGCCACTTTCACCACTAGTTACACAAATAACTATTTCCTTATCGTGCTTTTCTCCTTTAATCATATGTCTTTGCTAACAGTTTTAATAGCACACACACTAAGTTTCACCTAACAATATAAAAACAAATTAAATTAGTTCCTCACACAAACCCTCAAAATGCAGGAGTTAGGGTTAGATAGTACCTCCTTTTCAATGTTTATAGTTGTCGAACGTTTGAAAAATATACTTTTTTTGTCTCTGTTACGTCTATTTTATCCATGAGCTTGAACATAAGTTACAATCTAATTAATTGAGATTGTTTTTCAGTTGGATTTTGTTCAGTTGATTAGGAAATGAGCATAATCTAAACATTAGGTAAAACCTTTAGTATCCAAAAGTCAATGGTACAACCCAATTTAATTCTTCAATACGTTTTAATTTTTGTAATATTCGTTGTATTTTAGGAAAAGTTTTTCTTAGTAATTTCATCTCATGTTGTTTAATACTACCACCCCCGTGCCTGAAGTGGCTTTAACATCCTAGAAATATAAAATTTGCATTACAAACAAGAGTATTCATAATCATTTACTTATTCAATTTGTACTTTTTCCTAAAACGGACTTGGATTTTATTTTAAAACCTTATCGATAGTTCTGTCTTATTGCGGAATAGCCGAACTGTATATACTACATACTCAATAAACAACTGCATGGTACTGAAACAAAATGTTAACTTACAATGAGTACTTGCCTTTAGTCAAATTCATTGAGTCATTTAATTAAAGCAGGCTATAGAAGTGCAATTTTTGTATTGCTTAATTTTATGTAAGTGTGGACTCAGGATAGATGGTTCTATCGGTAACCAAAAGAGTATGCTGGGTAAAAAGTATAGACACATCTCATTTAATCCTTTAAATCATTTAAGTCTCCAAGACCGAAATTCTTATTTCAGTACACCTTTTTTAACCATGCATTGTTATGTACTTTGTTTCTCTAATGAGAGGCTAAAAGCTCAAATTTTAGAAGGCAGCCTTAAACATTCGCTTTCAACAAGCCATTTCTTATACCACTCTCTGTAAAGCGTCTATAAGAGATCTGAAAATGAAATACATCAAGCTTGAACACTTTTAAATAAAAAATATTTACCCACACGATCAAACGAAAAGCTTTTGACTTTCTAGTTTTTCCTGACATAATTACTAAACTATTAAAATGTGTAGTGTCAAGCTCGTTATCCACCAGGTGGCACACTATTCTGTACACTAAAGTTCACTGTCTGTAGTGAACGTGATGATCTTTGTCTTGCGTCATACTTTTAATTATTAACAATACATACTCTAAAGTCGTGGACTTATTATGAGGTAAAATAAATGCACATATTTTGAAATAACAATATCACGTGTTATTTTTTATGAGCATACAAAACATATGAATATATTAGAACAACCGGTCTAAAAACAGACCTGAATAAATAACATTTGGTAACAAACATATGACAACAAGCTACAGATATATTCCGTGTCTAACCATAGTGAGGAACAGGAGCGACCACTTTAGCCACTGGGGCGTAGGCCTTGGCTACGGGGCCGTAAGCGGGGGCAGCAGGATGCGCGGCAGCATCCTTGTGGACGACGGCGTTGAATCCGTTGTGGGGATCGGCGGTGTACTCTACGGTACGGACGGAACCGTCAGGCTCGACCAGGCTGTAGGATCCTTGGACAACATCCCCTTGACGAGACTCCTGCTGGCTCTTGGAGTCTCCGGTCAGACCGTCCTTGATGTCGTAGGCGTAGCTATAGCTAGGGTTGGGGTCGTAGTCGTCAACGGGTGCGGCCTTGGCATAGGCGGGGGCAGCGGCGTATGCTACGGGGGCGGCGACCTTGGCAACGGGGGCGTAAGCGACGGGGGCTGGCGCGTAGGCGGGTGCATGGTACTGGGGAAGCGCTAGGGCTCCGGCCACAAAACCGCACAAAAGGACGATCTGAAAATATTGCAAAATATGAAAAATGTAAACACAACACAAGACGTAATTACAACACTTATGTATTGTAGGTACAGCTAACCATAAAGGAACACTACATGGATAATTGGATTCTTGGTTATTTGTTGTACCCTTCCTAATTTTACAGGATGAAAAACCTTACTTAAACCGTACTAAAACAGTATGTACGTGTAGTTAGTTAAACAAGGTCATAAATATGAAATTTTAAACAATCGTACAAGAAAAATAAAGCAGAAAAACTTAATTTATATGAACTTGGTAAAAAAATCACAATTTGAGATATAACTTTGGTATGTGAACAGTTAGCGTGCAATGCAACTATCTATAGGTCATTATCCGATAGCCAATCTAGCCTAGCCCCTAGTGTGCGGAAGTGAATGTCCATTGCCCAGTGCTACAACCCTGACATAGAGACAAGGTCTCGGGCACCGGACATTCCCTCCAATATGGCAGCTCATAAACTCCTGGTTCATTGACTCAGTCACTTGTTCAGTGATATTCTTTCCATCCAAAGATCTAAAGTTGGTAGATCTTCCAAAGAACTTTGCTACTGATAAAGTGTTGTAGTAGTTTTAAGAAGCTAAGGCTCTGTAGGATGCAATTAAGTTTTATGCAACTTGTATCTAAGATATTGTAAGATATTAAGGTACTAAACGTAAAATTAATTTCTGTTGTAAATTTAAGCCATCATGTAAATATTGGGGAAACGGAGAACCGGCCACCTCTGGTCCTAATCCGCATATAGAAGTTTGGTTAGGTTAGGTTAGATTATACAGGGTGACCGTTAAGTCTTAGGACGACTTTATAACTTTTAAACGACAAACGATATCACAACCAGATTTGGTATACCGTTACTGGTAATTGTAAGCTACTTTTCTGTGTACATGGTGGTCGGATATCACCTTTGGGGGACGGCCCGTCGGGGGTCAGAAGAAAATCTTTAATGACAGCCTATGTTGAGTTGTACATCATTTTAAAGGTCTAATTCAATTGAAAACAATGCCGCAAACCGTACTTCAAAAGAACCATCCGTTAAAAAATGACAGTTGTTTAAAGATTTTAAAAAGTGTTTTAATTTAAAGAAATTGGCTAATTTTGAAAATATTTGAACATCTGCCATTTTACGCAGGATCAACCTTTTGAGGTGCGGTTTGCGGCATTGTTTTCAGTTGAAGTAGACCTTTAAAATGATGTACAACTCAACATAGGCTGTCATTAAAGATTTTCTTCTGACCCCCGACGGGCCGTCCCCCAAAGGTGATATCCGACCACCATGTACACAGAAAAGTAGCTTACAATTTCCAGTAACGTTATACAAAATGTGGTTGTGATATCGTTTGTCGTTTAAAAGTTAAAAAGTCGTCCTAAGACTTAACGGCCACCCTGTATAAATATGGCCCCTGAATTTACGACAAGTGGCGGGACCCCTACACTCTTAATATTGAGTTTCATTCAGTTAGGATGTAGTTTAGTTGTTGTAGCTAAGATGTAGTTAAGATGTAGCTAACATGTAAGAAATTAAGCTAACTACGCAATTAATAAAATAATTTTACCCCGTTAATTTCAAGCACCTCGATAAGCTTGTTTCGATTAAAACGCAGCAAGCTTATGTCGTCACATACTTTACATCTTAGAGATGATCAATTGTAAAGTTCGTTGATCAAATGTTTTACTTTATTCTTAAATCAAGTTTTGATCAATTTAAACACTTTTAAATATAGCTCATAATACACATATAAAAGGAATAATAGTATGATTATTATAACCAAGTATTTACACTACGAGTTGGATTGTTTCAATAAACTCAGGAGTTTATCCGGTTAAAGAGAAAACCTCAATCATAGCATAATATATACATGTTGATTTTGATCGGATTCATTTAAATTACATTATACTCATAGTCAAAGGTGATTGAGTTAAACCAAGATTTTTTACTTAAAACTAAATGTACAACATTTTAGTCCTACTAATCCTACTAATATTATAAATGAGAAAGTTTAGATGTATGGATGTATGGATGTATGGATGTATGTTTGTGACAAGTGAACGCGAAAAATACTGGTCGGATTGGGCTGAAATTTGGCATGATTATAGCTCACATTCCCGATTAACATATAGGCATATTCTTATTCCAAAAATCCTTTCGGGCTCCGCCCCAGTGGCTCTGGAGTTTCCCATGTTAACCTTATGAGAAATGGAATTATTGAATCTTAACAGCTGTTTCAATTAAACAAGTTGGTTCTGTTCTATGATGTTCAATAGCATTAAAGTTACAAGGATTACCAACAGGGTGCAGCACTATTATTTCTTTTACATTTATGACAACAGCTAATTTGCAACCAAAAGGTGAGTGAGAGTAGCGAACGAACTTCAACCTGGGGGCGAGTTAGCGTAGCGAACGAGCTAACCTGAAGGCAAGTGAGCGCAGCGAACGAGCTCCAACCTAAAGGTGAGTGAGCGTAGCGAACGAGCTCCAACCTAAAGGTGAGTGAGCGTAGCGAACGAGCTCCAAACTAAAGGTGAGTGAGCGTAGCGAACAAACTTCAACCAGGACGTGATTGAGCCATGCGAACGAGATAATCTTGAAAATTAAGAAGTTAAACGGGGCAAAGCCCGCGGGTTACAGCTAGTTTGTGAATAATTTTAAAGACTTAAAACTACCCTGATCATTACATTTCTTCAGCGTATCATTCTGTAGGTTATTTTAGAAAAACTTTGAACAAACTAAGCGCATAGTAACGAACTAAAACTTACTTCAAGTGCAGTAATAGTATTATATTAGATATACTACCATTATAAGTACTCAATAAAATATGAAATCAGAGATTGAATTCAGCGCTCACAGTACTAAAGATTTCAAGAAAAACATGTTGACCAGTTAATAAATTACTATGAAACATTTTTACTCAAATTATTATATAAACGATTTATCAAATTAAAACTAACAAAACAAATCTAAACATTATATACATGATTCCATTTGTTGTAATGAGTTTCATCCTACAGGGTTGTGATAGAACATGAAAATAAAAATTATATGATTGCTCATAATGTGATACATTTAAATAAAGATTATTTTAATAGCCGAACTTACTGAGATAACTTTTATAAACCACATATTCCTGAAAAAGCCCATCAGAAAAACTTATTTATTCGTTAAATCACAAACATAAGCGTTCAGAACTTTTGAGACGTGCAACGCTAGCTAGGCTTTGTTTGATTTTCGAAATGATCACAAAATTAATTTTAATCATCAACTCATACACTTAATCGAGATTTGTAACGATTTTAAGCCTACAAGTCCCACCCACATAGAAAACTGGTCTAATTCGTTTGACCTAAAATATAATTATCGAAGCTGCAAAGTTTCATCTAATCTGAATATTTTTGCAATTTGTTCACAATGTTTAGTCCAATTAGTTTACCTGAACGCTAATGTTCAACATAGAGCAAATAGGCAAAATTATTGGACTTAATTTTGGCCTAATGTATTACTAGATGAAAGCGTGTAAAAATACGAATTGAGATAGCTAAACACGATGAAGAGATCAACTCTGCAAATACGTTTGAGATTTTTGTTCTCTAAATTAATGGACGCCTAAGTATTTAAATAACATTTACGTTTTAAAAACACCCTTTGAGATTTTGATCATAAATCTTAATATTTATCCCTAAATAGTAATTATTAAAAATGCTTAACGCACAATCTAAATGCTTAACGTTTTAATCTACCTAGAATTGCTGCACGGCTTACCTTAGTTGCCATTATGTAGATGGTAGAGAGAGTGTATGCGACGACGCAGGGACGCCCAAGTATATAAGGGAGAGGCTTTCTCCCAGGGGGCTCGGGGGTCCGCCCCCTCTACCACGCCCCCGTCCCCTACCATGTTGCCCCCTAGGGTCTGGGCTACGTTGCCACAAGTACAGGTCTCATTGTTTGGGTACTCGACTTGCTGAGTAATAATGTGTTATGAAACTATGGATAAATAATAAGGCATAATATTTATCACATGAATTAACGTGTATTAAAAAAATATAAAAATAGTACACTTACCATTTAACAGTTCCTCTTCCAGTTGGCGCTATGAAGCTTTTCACTGTAAACTAAAGTTCATATGTATTTACGAATTGGTTTACATGCATCGATGCTCATTTGGTAACTAAGGTATCACATATTATCAAAAGGACTCTTGAAATCTGGCATTATTTTCCTAGGACGCTAGGCACGAGCCTGGGATTGTTTTTCACATTACTTTAGGCTAGACCTAGGGGTTGTGGCATTATCACTTAGATAAAATCCATTGGTGACTTGGTGGGGACCGAAACCGGGACCTCAGGGACTGAAGTCCCGTGCTCTAACCACATCTGGAATTAAAGCACGTACAAGCTCTAAACATTTTAAATGCACCGAACTGGTGGGTCTAGCAAATTTATATTCATTTGAATATAATTAATTTGAACGTACAGCTTAAAAATTTAGGAATTACTGACCCTAAGAACTGTATTGCTGCATCTAAACTGCACAAAAACAATTGATCTCAGTACGGGTTAAAGTAGTTCTTATTAATATTACTGCAACTAAACTTACGATCCAGGATTATAAAACTACAGTATTTTCAGAAATCATAACCTGCTATATATACGGTTTTTAGACCATTATACCTTTAATACAACATAGATACCTTCTTCTTCCCTTAATTATTTTCAAAAGCTTCTGAACTGAAGTTAAAGGGCAAAGTATTGTGAACTCGATTGCACATTTTTATATCCATTTGGTCTAATCATCATACATGGTATGACCACTTTTTAGATAAAATATATGGCGAACAGTTACAAACTCTATGAGTAAATTATTTAACTATGAGTAAAACATATGGCATTCATTGCTAGCCCATGTAGATGAGTTGTAGCGCTTCTAACTTGTTTCAGTGTTCCCGCGTGTTGCTTTTCCCCACTGTGTGCTGTGTAGCTATGTTGCCTGTTTGCGCCGTGATGTATCATTTAATCTAGTGGATGTAGTTGACTACTACTTATAATACAAACGGTGAGGTTGTCGTTGGATTTTGACGTATACATGCATTGGTACAGGTAACGATGTATTTTGTTGTATAAATATACCGTCACAATAAGTAAATAGTATGGTTGAAGATAATTGAAATGCATTTCGTTATTTTTAATATGGTTGGTTGGTACTCATTTCACACTTGGCCAAATTGCTTTTATCCTAGTTATTAGAAAGCTCAAATACAACAATCAATACGCAGACAAGTTATAATGCAAGCACAAGTACTACAATTTTTACACATAATTTACAAATAACAATAGCAAATGTTTTATTTTTTCTTGTACTTAATTTGTTTACTCAGGTCCCGTAATCACTGTGCAGATGTGATATAATATTTCGTTGTTCAACAGTAACCTGTTGATTGCCATTATTTAAGAAGGAATATTATAATGTCTGAAGAGACTGTTTTAATTTGAGTGATCCTGTTTCAGGTATGGTGCAGATAACGCTATTGGTGATTCATATGCACGGTATGTATAGTTGTAATGCCATACCTACTTATTTTCAATTTAGGAAGACATAACAGATTTCCTAAAATAAGTTATAAGGTTCGTTTAGTATCTCCTCGTCAACAGTCATAAGAAATATTCTACTTTTTAATGAATACAATGAGTATTTAGATTGTTCAGCCATTAAAACGATCATGTCCTCTAGTATTACCATTGCAGGTAAATTATTTTTTAATCTGCATTTTAATTCTCCTGAGCAAATGTTTTTCCAATTAATTATTTAGCCAGTATATTTAGCAAGAATTGTAGTAAGTCACATTCAATGATAGTGTTTATCTAAAAATATTCAAAGCCCTCACTAATTCATCAATGATTCTCCAACTTCCCGACTAGATAGAAGGCTAGAAGGGTATTCGGTATAATAATCATCATTCATATTATAAATAGGAAAGTTAAACAGTTTGACACAGTTAAACAGTAAATTTATTTCATCGAAGGGTTTGCCCTAAAAGTCCTTAAGTTTCCAATGTTATTTTCTGCTTCAAAAAGGAACGACCATTGTTGAATTGAAGTTTACTCCCATTATGGTATGATGATTCCCAATTTTTATAGCTATACATTCACAGATTATACATTTATTTTACCATTCAAATATTTACCCGTACGAAGAGCTGAGAAAACAGCTGGTCATTCTATATTTTCGTTAACTAAACGGCTTATAGAATTACAGCTGTCTTAATTATAGCCACCATTGAAGTGGATTCAAATAGTTTTTATAGTAACTTAACCCTTGAAAATTGTGATTTACTGTATGTCTTGCCTTTTTTAGTTGACATGTAAGAATCTTTTTGCGATGAATACTGGGAATAAAATATCTCAAGAGTTATATCTGGAGAAGTTTTGCTTTCAAGGTACGTCTGTATACTTTCCACCAATTACAAACGATAGAAATGGTTTCATCCCCAGTACAATAATCCTTCCGTTCAACCATCTCTTAAGTGTCAGTGGTTTTAACTGATTTCTGCTCCTTGAAATACACAAGAACGTCTTCTGTTGCAACAAAGTAACCGGTACTCTAAGTGTAAATTACATCCAGGTGTTGATACGTTGAACATTATATCATCAGCTGATCCAAAACTAACACCTGGGGTCGCCATAGGAGGCCTACGCTGGCATTGTTGGTTATGTAATGTCTCTGACACACTTACTGTGAACTCAACCTCTGTTCAGTAGACTCTCGTTGCGATCATGCGATGTGTGCTCATGGTAGAAAACATCCATGGATGTATTGCTCGAAGTCAGACATTATTTTAGTCAGGTGGCAGTGAAGATTTTTCTAGTCAGCGTTTGCAGTTACGTCCAAAGAAATAATCTAACTGAAATTTTGTTTAATAGAATAACAATTTCAACCTACTTTGTTGAACTATGTAACTTACTACATATTGTTTCCATCTGTTTGTTTTGAAAATGCCCTTATTATTTTTTTATTCTCTTGTGTAGAATTGGAAATGTTTAAGGCTAAAGTTTCCCTCTTTTCTAATGTTTTTTGAGCTTTAGACAACAGCTGAAATTAATATTATGCATTTTATATTATGGTATTTTTGAGTTGAGATTTATTGTATATCTATGGATTATAGTAGTCGAATCTTTAGCTAGTCAGTCAATGGAAGATATGTAAAATTGAACATTTTTGTCGGTTGAACGACTATAGTAAGGCTGCCATAAGGTGGCACATTTAGCCCAGTTGTGGTTTCAAGTATATGCGTAGATTCGAAAACAATTAATTAATTGTTGACCGTACTTGTGCTTCCTAAAGAAGAAATGTTTTTCCGATCCCATTACGTATGTTTACAAAGGCTAGAACCATGCAACAATTATCATCTCACCATGACCATAGGCTACAGTTTTTCCCCAAAAAATGAAAATTATGTGAAATGATACAATGACAGCAATTGGAAGTCACCATCTAATAACAGGAAGTAATTTGACATGATCTTACCTATAAAAATAGTCTGCTCCAAGTCAATAAAAATAAGTGTATAATGTGAGAGTAAACGTATAATACACGGTGCTACACATGATTTTAGACAAAGGTAAAAATACTGAAAGAGCACAATTGAAATGTTTATGCTGTTAATATTTAACAAATCTTAAAATTAGGGATCACATTTGTACATGGGCTTAACCTAAACATATGGTACAACAGTTGGAGCTCTAATAGTGGGGGCCGTATGCTGGACCAGCTGCATACTTGGCAACAGGTGCTGCGTATGTAGGAGCGTAGGCGGGGGCAGCAGCGTACTTTGCGACGGGTGCGGCATAGGCTGGAGCGTAGGCGGGGCCGGCAGCGTACTTAGGGGCTGCGTAGGCGGGGGCAGCAGCGTACTTGGGTGCTGGTGCGTAGCCTGGTTCCTTGTGGACGACTGCGTTGAATCCGTTGTGGGGGTCGGCGGTGTACTCCACAGTCCTCTTGGAACCGTCAGGCTCGACCAGGCTGTAGGATCCGTGGACGACGTCTCCTTCCCTGCTCTCATGCTGGCTCTTGGAGTCTCCGGTGAGGGAGTCCTGGATGTCGTAGGCGTAGCTGTACTGCGGGTTAGGGTCGTAATCGTCAACGGGGGCCTTAGCGTAGGCAGGAGCGTAAGCTGGGGCAGCCTTCACATACGCAGGGGCAGCAGCGTAGGCTACTGGGGCAGGGGCGTACTTGGCAACTGGCGCGGCGTATGCAGGAGCAGCGTAGGCTACGGGGGCGGCAGCGTATTTAGCTACTGGGGCGTAAGCCGGGGATGCGTAGGCGGGGGCGGCGTAGGCCGGGGATGCGTAGGCGGGACCGGCGGCGTACTTGGCGACAGGGGCGGCGTACGGGACTACGCCGGCACTGGCCAGAGCCACGCATGCTGATAGTAGGACAAACTGTGAACACAATCAAACAAATTACTTCATTGAAATTGTAAGGTAGCATGCCTATACTACAACATTTATAAATGCTGTTCAATTTTAGTTTGGCATACTACAACCCCTTATCCTAATATTTAAATACTGTTTTCGCAGTTAAAACATTCTCACCTGACTCCTTATTTCAGAATGCAAAACTATACATCATATAATACCATAAAATGTGTGAGTAGTGGGGACTTTTTTTGTTTACAATATCGTAGTGGTCATGTTTTACACTATAGCATTCTCTCCAGGGGGTAAAAGACACTGAATATTTAATTAGTTTCGCCAGAATTAAAATTAGGTCCACCAATTTTAAGAAATAATCAACCATGAAATTAAGTAGCTATTTTAGTTGAGCTGCAACCATGTTCATTGACGAACCATCTGTCAAAACAATGAAGAGTAATGACCCACAAACACAGAGAGACGGTGGTCTTGCACATGTAGTGCCAGAAGCAGCCAGCTTGGCGCGACATCGGTGTGACGTAACACACGATCACTGACCTTCCCCGAGCATGCGCGGTGAACTTTGCGCGGGTCACGAATCACGACTGCGCGCCACGCCGCGGCTGTTATGACGCCTGCGCGGCGACTCATATCGCGCAGTTATTTAACGCATTTTACACGATTGTGACTGTATTGTTCAATATTTATGATGCACTTTGATTTGTTTTTTATGTGAAACTTTCTAGCTTTAAAGATAGCGATAGTTTTTTTTTCTCACTAAAAACTAAATTCTGTATGATGTTACAGTGCTTTATATTGAATCCTATATAAGGTGTGAGTAGTTGTAAGTACTTAATATATATTATAAGCACCATTATAGTATGAGCACCAGTACTTACTGTCTATTCTTATGGTAAATATAAATAATTCTTCAGAATACTGCAAACTCGAGTTTGAAAATATGCATTAGATAAAACCCGACCGGTTTTTTAGTTGAGGTTGAGGTTTTGCCAAATTCTCCCCCTTGCTTTGTACAGTTTACTCCTCGGAAATTTTGAGTTTTTATAAAAGTATTGTGAATCGCAATTCATTATGGCATTGTAGATTTATTATTAAAATAAAAAATATATGAAAAACCTTCCTAGCAAAGGCCTTAAAGTGTAACCTCAAGTTTGAATTTTCCATTACATTTAGAGAACTATAGTAAAACATTAACAAAAACAATAAAATTTTTAATTTTACATGAATAATTTTGAACCTCTAATCTAAACTAAAAGAAAACAATGTTACTACTCTAAGTGGTAAAACAAGTGTTTTGTTTCCAAAGTGAATAATAGATGTGTATTAACAGTATAGCATACAGCAGATCTAAAGAACAACATTGTCTCTTTCGCGTACTAACGTATCCCCCCCCCCTCTTGGAGAACCACGGCTATAGCATTTTGTAATCATTTACTCGTAGTATTTAAAAAAAAAAAAAAAAAAAAAAAAAATAGTAAATACACACACTTGTTTACCCATATAGCCTAATATTCACGATGCCTACACGATAGATGGACTCGTACGTACAAAACTAGCTATAGTCATGCAGTGTCAAGTTAATAACGTATTAATGAGTGGTATGTGTGCGTGTAAATGTACCTATAAAAATATCTGAAAAATGATTTTGTTTCATTGATGTTGCCGTCGTTTAGTATACCATTGTGTTATTTTATAAACTTATACTATGAACGGAACCTCAACCAATGAATTGAAAATCACAGAATGTACTTTACGTGCACTTTAAATAAAAATATAGGCCTATCATTAGTCTTAAACTATTGATTTAAATATTTGAATAATTTGTTAAAATAAAAACTTCGACACATCACATTTTAATTAAAGACTAACAGTAACACGATATTCGTCCCTCATGTGCCAGTTTATTGGTAATCGATAAACCTTTTAACAAGATTTTTGTTTGATAATGTTCCTTAAGCTGGGTTTTCCTAGACGCGGAGTCGGCCAGCGGAGAGCGGACAACGGAGAGCGGACTCAGCTTGTCTTAGGTAATTTAATGTTACTGTTTTCCTAGCAGCGGAGCGGAATGCCATGTTAATTTCAATTCCGCTCTCCGTTGTCCGCTCTCCGCTGGCCGACTCCGCGTCTAGGAAAACCCAGCTTAAACCAGTGTATACTACATTTTCTCATTAGTAACGGCTCCACGCTTGATAACTACAGCACTAGCTGTATTGGGACTAGTAGCAAGGCTACTATAGGCCGTGTACCCATATTGCCTAGCTGCGCCTGACTAGAAGAGAACGCTACATTGCTGTAGTAAGATTGTCTATGTAGCGCCTTACACCTCCCAATAAAAAAATAAAAATTAACAGTGTTTAAGCATATTTTCTTTCCATGATGTGGCTGAATATTGATTCTATAATGGATATGATAAATATGTCAGTTAAATTTTTAATTGTATAAATGTTATTTAATATTAAATCTGTATTTTACACAAATATCAGTGAAATAAATTTCCTGAATTAATAATTCAATTATATTATGAAAATGTTACGACAACTTTCAGATTGGTATTTAATATCACAGCTGTTTATTTAAATTTGCTTATGTGGGATGTAAATTTTTAAATAATGAAATTCTTAAATATATTAAAACAGTAAAATGTATTGAAACTGAAATGTTAAATGTATCATCTCTTATATTTGGAAAGGAAGGAATTTATTTATTAAATTATAATAAAATAAAACTGATAGTATAATTGTTTTTGATTGGTATTAAACTATGATAATATTTTAAACATACACGACAGACGAAAAAATGTTACGATTGAATGGTATAGGTACAAAAATTTAATTTACGTTTACATCTTATCATTGAGACTTTGATTCAATAATAAGATTTAATAAGATTTATTGCAGCCATTAAACATAACATTTTGTAATAGTCATTGTTACAATAGTATGCTACTTAAAATTAGATCATACATCAATTATAAATTTCAATATATACAATATCCTATTTAGAATCCAAAGATGATAATGCTTTTGATTTTTAAAACTCAGCAATTTTTCTTTAAATTGGTTTAGAGGTAGTTTACGAAAACAAGTGGGTAGCTTCAAGAAGAAAATATGTTGGATGTAAAAATGGCTTGAGCATAATAATTGAATTGTATACGCCCTAATCATTTGGATAAAATATAAGACAGCAGAGCATACTATAATTTGAAAAATTGTTTTATGAAAAGGTGAAATATTATTTTAAAACGTTACATAGCTTATTTAGTTTGATTTTAAATTAAATACATTATAGGCTACTGAATAGATGTTCAATAACCAATCAATTTATATATAATAAAAATATGTACACTTTGAAGTCAATTCATATGTACTGTCAGTGCCATAGAAATAGCACCTAAATTATATATTTAATTTTTGTTTAATTTTGTATACAAAATAATCCATTTTCCTTTGTTAGAAAACTGGTAAAATAGATTACCGGACAAAATATATTTTTCTTAAATCGTTTTAACTAAAGTCACAAACGTAGAAAGTGAACACTTACCCGTGTAACCATGACTGTGGAGTGTGGAGGGAATGAGACAGACAGACTGCAGAATGGAAGATCAGGCTTATATACAGCAGAAGACATGATGAAACAACCTTTCACCCGCCCTTGAACCTGAGTCTTAGGGGTATTTGCAACATGTGTTTCTTGTACTATCTCCCTATGTATCACACATAAACGGGACTTTCGACTACCAGGTTGATGAGGAGGTTGTTAAAGTTACGTTTCACTGGTCAATAATTTTGGCTGAAGAGATCAGTTTTTGGTGTTTGAGTCGGTTGTCGGATCAATATAGGGCAACGATAATTTTACTTTCTTCTCAGCAGGATATAGATGTTATCTTATCTTATCTTACTAATATTATAAATCTGAAAGTTTGTGAGTTTGTGCGTGTGTTTGTGTGTGTGTTTGTGTGTATGTTTGTTGCTCAATCACGCATAAACTACTGGACGGATTGGGCTGAAATTTGGCATGATGATAGCTCACATTCCCGATTAACATTAAAGCATATTCTTATCTCAAAAATCCTTTCGGGCTCCGCCCCAGTGGCTCTGTAGTTCCCCATGTTAACCTTATGATTTTTCATATTTAAAGGAATTAATGAATCTTAACAGCTGTTTCAATTAAACAAGTTGGTTCTGTTCTATAATGCCCAATAGCATCAAAGTTACAAGGATTACCAATAGAGTGCAGCACTATTATTTTTTTTTTATTTATGACAACAGCTAATTTCCAACCAAAAGGTGAGTGAGCGTAGCGAACGAACTTCAACTTGGAAGCGAGTTAGCGTAGCAAACGAGCTAACCTGAAGGCAAGTGAGCGCAGCGAACGAGCTCTAACCTAAAGGTGAGTGAGCGTAGCGAACGAACTTCAACCAGGACGTGAATGAGCCATGCGAATACTTATGAAGTTAAACGGGGCAAAGCCCGCGGGTACAGCTAGTTAGTAATAATTCTGTTGTAGAAATTTTCATTGCTCACAAATACCCTGTCAGGGAATCACCATTGGATACCACGTGAAATACCACGTTTTTGGCAAAATGCTTGACTAAAATTAAAATCTATTGTTAGCTTTTACTATAAAATAACTGGTTACACTACTAGATAAAGTATACAGTTATATTTCTCTATATATTTAAGTATTGTTTCATTGTATTTATTGTGGGATATAAACTTCATTAGCCTATTAATTATTAATATTCATTATTCATGTTCGTAGTAAATAATGCTCGTTAAATGAAGGAGGCTATACGATTAAGTATTCTTGGTTAAGTTTTCTTGGTAGGGGGGTCCCTGACAAAAATTCTCATTCCATAATAAACTAACATATTTTACAAATTACATGAGCCACAGCTACAAACTAGTGTTGATAGGCGGCATTAAAATCAGGGGCTGAAGTAAAAAAGCACCTGTTCCTAACTGAATAGACCAGCTTTTTGGCTAGGCTTGGTTGTGGATATCGTAGGTAGCATGACAGAGATCTTAATTTAGAAAAATATATTTGATGTTCGCAAAGAAATAATGGTTTGGTTAGGTAAATTTGAAATGCTTTTTACTCTGAAAGTTTTTAAACAAACACACGCAATTTTACTAAAAACTTTTTAACCTGTTGGGGGAAAGAAACAAAATTGTGGTCAATAATTTGATATTATGATTATAGCATTATTTAAACAAAGCTCAACGTAAAGGATTTTTTAAATAAATATAAGAAATAATTGAGGGGACTGTTTTTACAAATCCTGGGTACGTTCCAAGTTTTAACGTGTGCAAATCTCGCTGGTTAATCTATAAGTAGTGGAAAATAGAGACTTTATTTCTCAGCCCCTCTTCTTTCCGTTAGGCCCTATCTCTGAAAAACAAAGTTTTTTGGGTTTCAAAAAGGGTAAATTTTGTGGAAGTAGTCAGTGAGTTTGATTTTGGAATTCATGAAATTTTTATCATGGTAAACATTATTATTATATTTCACATTTTAAATAACGCAAGCAGTAAGCCATTTTATCACACTTCAATCAATGCTGTTAATTTTGGTTTAAGAATTATCTATATGTCACTATAAACTAGCTTTCAAAAAAGTTGCCTTTCCAGTCTTGCCAATATGCTCTTAAATATGTTCTTTGATCTTTACTAAGCGATATAATAGATCAGCGAAGTATATTCGGCGATATCCTTTATTTACTAACCTGTAACAATAATTCCATCGTTAGGTGCAGTTTGTGCCTAGTGTGTCTGGGAGGCACAAATTACTCTTCTGGGCACATCAAAATGAAAAGTTAAATCGGTCCTGGGCCTAGGACATACAATGATACTGAGGTGATAGCTTCTTCCTTATATGGTTAATAAAAAATAAAAAAAATAATAATAGGTCTATCAGATGAGGGAACCTAGTTGGCACTAAACCCCAGACAGTAAAACACAAAATTCATTTATAATAATTTCAATGCTAAATATTTTTGAGACTATTTTTCATTCCTAAAAAACTGCATCTCCATACAGTATTACATGTTCCAATGTCTCCCAGTTAGGTAATGTTGGCCTAGTCTCTCACGGGTGACCTATAGCTATCTACACTGTTTGCACCGTTTCCCCGCCGCCGGCGCGTATTCCCGCGTATTCGCGTATCGCGTGTATTGTCGGTTGTCGACGTATTTATGACCACTGTTTTGGTTGTGTGTTCTTGTAACGTACTATGCCATTACTTTGACTCACATTCACTGACGATCTGATACTTTATTGTGTCTATGTTACTTGTGTTACCCAAACTAAGCCATCAAATGATGAGAAGTTTAATATTGGAATAAACGTCACACGAAACGGTACCATTTTTGAAAAAGAAAATATATTAGAGCCTTGATATTTTTAAAGCTAATTCATTACTGACACATGCGCTTAATATTCTAACAAGTCTTTTCAATCATAACCTGCGAAAACCATTTTTGGAGTAGATATACGTACTTTTATCACACGTCGTTTTCTTTGCCAGACTTATTTGATACAGGACCCAGTGACTCTGAGCCCTTGTGCTTCTGTAGACAGTTTTTGTTTTTGCTATCCGATGTGTTTATCTGTTTGTTTTGTTGGTGGTGCCTCGTTATTTTCCTTTGTAATTTTGGATTCGTCTTAGAACATTTTCATAGGACCCCCATTTATTTTCATATCTGTATTCATAACGAGACTGTGAACATTAGTTAATGTTAATATCATCAATGTAAACTGCCGTATTGTCACATACTATTGAATTTCGGAAGTCACATATTTGTAAATAGTGTACTTATTTACTGATTTCCTTATCCAAATTCAATTACTTTATTCATGGCATAAGCCAGCTTAAAAAATGATAACATAATTCAGTACATGCATTAGTGGTGATTGAAACATGTTAACAAATTAGTTAACTGAGGTGTTATATGAAAATTACTAAATGTCGTTTTTTCCTTGTCGCAGCTTGAAATTTACGTATTTTATAAAATCATGATATAACTAAGATAGGCCTATAACTAAGACATGATATACGTTATCAGATAAATAGTATTTTAAATTGTTGATAGGCTCTGTGTTGAAGGAAATTGAGATTTGTGTTTAAAATAGTTTTAAGACCACGATTGCTACACCTCCTTAAATCTTGCGAACGTACATTTCACGCAGCGTGTCCAACTTCTTTGAATACATCCCAGGTGTCTGAAGCGATAACTTTGAAGCGTTATGCCTAGCACTTTTTGCTAACCTACTCAGAGGCACGAATTATTATCGCCCGCTCTCTGGGCTTCGTCATAAGTTGGCCAACAGGACCAGTTTCGGATTCACATTAAAGAGCACAACTATGTGAACGAGAATGCCCTCTGACCGAGCCGTAACAAATGTGCCTAATTACTGTGATCAGGCAAAGGCCAACGGGTTGTTCGTCAGCTTCTGCCAGGCAAGGTGGCGAAACTTGACAAGCCGAGGCAACTAGTAGTAATGTGGTAGCAAGGTTTGTCCTTCAACTCTTAATGTATGCCTAGTTTCTCGAATTACTCGGTTAGGTAGCTAAGTTCTGTGTTATAATTAATTAAGAGATTCAACAACTTATTTAATTGTAATACGCAGAATCACTGATTAAACACCTCAACAGTACCCCTAACTACAAACCCAATACTAAAGGTACATGATGTCAGTGACAAGCGAGACTAAGGCTACACATGATTAATACGTATTGATAGTCAAAGTTATTACTTAATAGCATAAACTTATGTTTAGGTGTAAGAAAAAGGGGAACGATGTTTTTTTTTATATTTTGGATAAAAGTCTTTCTTTGGGTGGCTGGAAAGACTTTCTGATCTCGTAGCTATGTCAGCGGCTCACGAAAATGCTAACTTCCCCATTGACAGAACATTTAGAAGTTTTGGTACACTAATAGCATTTCGTTCCATGTTTCAAATGGTGGACTGGAGATTAGTCCACTCCGTGTGGTTCGGTGGGTTGTTTCAAATCAAAACTCAATAGAGCAGACTGCATCACGCTAAATTCAATATTATATACAACCAGTTACTGGATTAAGACATTGTTGGCACATTTCACAAAACTATCAGCTCTACAGCTCTATGAGTCACGTTTAATACTTTTATTATTTCCCAAAAAAAATCAGGCGGGAAACAATTTTTTTTCAACGCTACATGTAATGGATTCCAAAATTAACATGCCACGGTCAGAGTTATTAGTATTAGGCGTTTTATTTTTACGAGCTTCCAACGAGTATTGTAAGGTCACTCTAGGAGTATTTAAATAAATCAGACGTCCGGCCATTAGACGGGCAAGTGTGTCAAGACCGCGTCAGCAGCAGCAGGATAAAGGAGTCAGCAGCAGATTGGCGGCGGACAGTCAGCAGTCTCCCCCCACCCCCCAGGCGAGCCAGTCAATCACACCAATCAGACGTGTCTGCGGTCGTGAGTTCGAGGAACTGATGACGCAACACTGTCGAGACCCGCCTCGGTTCGGTTATTGTTCCTGCGAACAAGAGTGAAATTGCATGCCGAGGTTCATAATTTTTAAATACAGTAAATTGTAAT